CACGGCAGGGAAATGCAGCTACAACTGGAGCACCAGGAAAACACCACTTGGGGACCTGGTAGCAGAATACTCCGGTTTAAAGGGGGTTTGCCACGGTTGGCAACAGCTAGGGACGGGAGGCAGATGTTGTGCGTGTGATCGTGCGTATGTAGTCCATTTCTAACCGGCTCAAATGGCCCGTCCGAACGCACGCTTTGCGTGGCAACCCTGGACTTCCTTGGTGGTCTCCGTCCAAGTGCTAACCAGGGCTCACTTTGCTTAGCTTCTCAGAGCTGATGAGATCAGGCTAGGCCAGGCCAACCAGGTCAGGGCAAGGATCCCAGCAGGTCATATTCATTCAGGCTTAAGGAAGCAAGAATTGCCCTGTTGGCCCTGACCCGGATAGCCCAGGCAAGCCCAACCTCATCAGATCTCAAAAGCTAAGCGGGGCTGACCCTGGCAAGTACTTGGAAGGACGTCCGCCAAGGAATACCAGTGCCGCCATGGCACAGGGGCAGGTAATATCAAAGCCACCTCTCTGAAGTGTCCTAGCCCCACTAGGGGTCGCCAGAAGTCACCATGACTTCCAGGCTCACAAGCACACACACACACACAGTACTCACCAAATGAAAGAAAAAAACAAAAAACAAGAATTGCCCTGCAGGATCACCTCAGAAAAGCCTATCTGGTCCAGCGCTGTCTCCAAAAGCAGCCATCCAAATGCCCCTCTGAAAGCGTGAGGTCGCCTTAGCCAGAGTCAAGTCCATTGATCTATCAGGCTCAGTATCCCATCCTGTGGCTGGCAGAAGCTCAGGGTGAGCTCTTTTACATCCCTTACTATCTGACCCTTTTAAATGGAAATGCCGGGGTTGGCTTTGAATTGCCCTCCAGAAGCCTTTAAAACCAGTACTGGTTTGTTGTGTTGCTATCCCTTGAGACCTTTGAGGAGCATTTCACCCAAATATTGTATTTTTGACTTTCTTCAGCTGCTTATGTGTGTTCTGCGCTTTGACGAAACAAGCAAGGGAGCCCAAATGTATCATATCTTCCAACATTTCACTCACAAAACATTTTGTTCATAAAAATAAGGACTTGCTTGTAATATCTTGATTCTCTGCTGAAGAGTTACTGCCCAAATGAGTAAAAGGTAAAGGTAAAGGTTCCCTTGCTCGAAAGCCAGTCAAATCCGACTCTAGGGTTGCGGTGCTCATCTCCGTTTCAAAGCCGAAGAGTCAGCGCTGTCCGAAGATGTTTCTGTGGTCATGTGGCCGGCATGACTAAACACCAAGGCGCACGGAACGCTGTTACCTTCCCACCAAAGTGGTCCCTATTTATCTCCTTGCAATTTCTTGCTTTCGGACTGCTAGGTTGGCAGGAGCTGGAACTAGAGACGGGAGCTCACTCCATCATGCGGCACACTAGGGTCTCAAACTGCTGAACTACTGACCTTCCACAGCCTGCAGTTCAGCGTCTTAACCACTTGAGCCACCGCAGCTCTAAAGGAGTACAGGATGCTATATGTTGGGTTTCCAGCTCTGGGTTGGGAAATACCTGGAGATTGGTGTGTGTGTGTGTGTGTAGATTGGTGTGTGTGTGTGTGTGTGTGGAGCCTGGGGACAGTGGGGTTTGGGGAGGGGAAGGGAGGGGAGAGACCTCAGCAGAGTACGATGCCACACCTCCAAAGCAGCCATTTTCTCCAAGGGAAATGTTCTTGGTTGTCTGGAGATCCATTGTAATAGTGGGAAATCACCAGGGGCCACATGGAGGCTGGCAACGCTACTATAGGCTGTAGTCATTTATGTGAAGGGGTTTAAAGCCAAGAAGGTACTTGTTCGTTAGGTTAAAGATGGGGCTGAAAAACAAAATGGTTGCTGTGAACTTTTATCAATAGTTCAAAACAAGCCCCGTATGAAATGCCTGGTTCTGTATGGAGTAGAGAGCCTTGAGGTTCACGCACAGCCTTTTCTCACATGCAAGTGTGCTGAAGTAACGATGCTTCCCGCTTTCTGCATCCCACCTCTACAGACTCTAGGGAGAGAAAGCAATCCTGACGATAGCTCTATTAGTGCACATTCACCGAACGTTATCCTCAGCCACTAACAGATCGAAAAAATAAAGTCTGGTTCACCCGTGCAATACATTCTCATTTCCAGTAAATTCCTGTTTCTTTGGGGTTTCTCCCCCCCTGTTCAACATGTGTTTTGTTCCCTCTAGCAGTCAGTTCAATATCACACCGCTTTATTTCCAGCATAAACACCTGCAGCTGAAATCTACTGGGAGATATGCTGAAAATGCAGCTGTGTGATATCGAATCAACCACTAGAGGGAGAAAAATAGGTGCAGAGCAGACCCCCCCCCCACACACACACACAAGAAACAGGAATTTACCAGTAAGTAAAATGAGAATGCGGAAAAGCTCAAAATGAGGTGAAAGGGAGTTGGTGGAATGTACTGCATTGTTTCAGAGAGCAAGTGGGAGAGTCTAGCTTTCTCATTTTAAAAAAACCTTCCTGAAAGTTTTGTTAAAAGCTCGGAGGAGGAGGAGGAGATTGGATTTATACCCCGCCCTTCACTTGGAGTCTCAGAGTGGCTTACCATTTCCTTTCCCCTCCTCACAACAGACACCCTGTGAGGTAGGTGGGGCTGAGAGAGCTCTTTCAAGGACTGCTTTTGAGAAAACAGCTCTGAGAGAATTTGTGGCTGATCTAAGGTCACACCAGCAGCTGCATGTGAAGGTAGGGTTGCCAAGTAGTACTTCACCTCTGGAGCGGGGGACTCCCGGGTGACGTGCACGCCGGGGGTGGGGTTCCCCCCGGGGACCGATTCCGCCGCGGTGGAAATCGGGCCTCCAAAGCGGGGGTTTACCCGCCACCCGCCCCCACTTGGCAGCCCTATGTGAAGGAGTGGGGGGAATCAAACCCAGTTCTTCCAGATTAGAGTCTGCACTCCTAACCACTACACCAAACTGGCTGTCAACGGGAAGAAAGGTTCTACCTTTTGTTCAATATTACATTTCCCCCCAAGTTTGTGGCTCAGAACCACAAATGGCATTGTCCTAATAAAAAGGCAAGGTTCTTCCACAATCGCACAACAGCTGAGAGTTAGGAGTGCTAGGTCGTCGGCTGCCTATTTTCCTAACATTACATTCTGGTTTCTGTGAGGTTTGTGTGCATATCATGTGGACAAGACAACCAGTCTAATTGGGGATAACTGAAAAGTGATGCTCGTAGTTCTGTGAATGGAGCTAACAAGTGGGATTCAGATCAAGATCTCAGCATGAGGGAATGAGGGAGTCAAGCTTTCCTCCCCATGCCTTCCTCTTGCCCTGAAATGGCCCCACGGAACTACTATGGGGCACACTGGGGAAGTATACAGCTATTGATGCAGGAGTGATTGGTGATGGAAGAATCGGGGACAGTGGTAGCGCAGGGGTCCCCAATATTCTTGAGCCTGTGAGCACCTTTGGAATTCTGACACAGGTTGATGGGCACAACCACCAAATGGCCACTGCAGGAGGTGGAGCCAACCACAAAATGGCTGCCGCAGGAGGCAGGGCCACAAACAGAGAGGAAGTCCAGACGCACGGGGGAAAGAGGGATGAGAGAGAATGAAACACACACAGTGGTGGCTGCTGCCACTGAAACAATGTTATTTTAATCTGTATAGCTTATTGGATCTTCAGTGGTCAATCAGAAGCACTGCTGGGTACAAGCCCCACCCACTTTCTAGAAACACTTGGTGGACACCAAGAAAGGTGTTGGGGTAAGCACCGTGATGACCACATGCACCATTCTGGGGATGCCTGGGCTAGGCAGACATAAAAATAGGTGCAGATCTGCACTCACTACATTGGTGTCCCTGATAAATCTTCACTTGAGGACAGAGTTATGGGGAAAATTGAAGCCAAAGACGTTGTGTGGGGAACTGATTGGCTGGCCATCTGTGATGTCACAAAGCACCTTCCCCCCTCTTCCTGCAGCATTATTTACAAAAATAATAATAATTTTTAAAATCAGGGGTTCTATGGTTATTTAAATGGCTAATCATAAAGACTCTTCAAACAAACTGTATAGGGGGATGGCGTGAGAAGAAAAGAGCCAGATCAGTTGCTGTAGAGGCATGAACCTACACCCTTTGATAAGAAAACTGAACATGGGGCAAAACACCTCTGCTGGCTCCTCTTTTTATGTATATTTGTACACACCTAAAACAAAACAGAGAAAACCAGAGTTTCATTAAGCCCTTTTGGAACTATCTTTCATAGGTCGTTTCTTCTCATTCACTGTTAATCTCCTCGCTTCATCCACTTTCACTCACAATGGTGCATGCTATTAATTAATTAATCAAATTGCATTATTCAAATTAATCAAATTGATTAATCAAAATGCATTCACCAAAGCGTTGCCTGTTCCTACATCTACAAAACCTTAGCATTTGAAGAACCAGGACTGGGATCAACCCAAAGCAATAGGCATTGCAGGCCACTGTCTAGCAGAATTCAAGTGCCATCATATTGATCAGGAGAGTTTTTGAGGGTGAACATAAATAGAACCAATGGGAAAACAGGAAGTGTGTGTTGTGGGGAGGTGGGTCCCTCTCAGCTTCCTATGATTTCCCTGGTCCTCAGCCCTTTTCTCTTGTTCCATCACGATAACAATGCAGAGCATTTGTATAGTGCTTTCAACTGTTCAAAGTGCTTCACAAAATCACCTCACTGTGCTGGTCTTCAAAGCAAACATTGAAAGAAACTGAAATCACGTGGGGAAAGCACAGCATATCTTCCCTATCTCTGAGAAAATGGAGTCCAGAACAGGGTGGTAACTGCTTAACACCCCTGCACTACAGTTTCACTGATTATAGCCGGTTTTTGCATTTGAATGGGGTAAGAAAGGGCTTCAATTGGTTCTAGAAATGGGGAACATGATTACCCCTTCCCCTGACCCTTGGGACAATAGGGTCTAGGCCGGGTGAGGATGGGGGTAACCCATTCCCCAGCAATTTTCCCAATTACAGCCCTTTCCTCTTACTGTATTTTTGATGCAGACTATTTCTACCTTTCTCTCTCCACCGCCCCATATAACAAAATGCAAAGAAGGTGGAAGCAGCAAAATGAACTTTCACTTAAAGCAGCAACGTAACTTGAACCAGCACTAGGCAATGTGTGGTGAGATTTTGACAAATACGGGACATTGGTCACAATGGCAGAACATGGACTTGAGACGTTTAGGAAGATGACCCCACACTCAAATTTTGTAAGATCAAGGAGAACACCCATGCAAAGGGCTGGTCTCGTGGTGGTGCTGAGGTCCCTTCTCCCCAGAGTCCGGCTTTGTAGGTTTGGGTCAGCATTTGCTCTGCTTGCTTATTGTGTCTTTGATCCATGGCACCACACAGCAGACTTTGCTATAGACTCCTGGATTCCCTTTCTGTGCGCATACATAGGTCCCCCAAGAAACCACGCCTTCAAGCTTCCCGTCACAGACCAGTGGGCCCCCAGAGTCACCCTGCAGGGAGAAATCATAGAAATGATCAGTGGGGACACCTCTACTAATCTGATGCACTCTACTTCATAGGGCCGTAAGTCCAACTAGATTGCCTACTCTGTTCTGTATAATGTACTACCACGAAGAAGGAGGAGGAGGAGGAGACTGGATTTATATCCCACCCTTCACTACCCAAAGGAGTCTCAGGGCAGTTTACAATCCCTTTCCCTTCCCCTCCCCATCACAGACACCCTGTGAGCAATGCTCCCTCTAAGCTCTGGAGTCCTGTGAGCAAAAATTCCACTTTGTGAGCTACTGGCATTAAAGTGGTGAGCAAGTAATTTGGCTACTGCATAAATTAGTTTGCTCTGGGGCCCTCCTTCCTGAGCTAAGACAAAAACGTGTGAGCCAGAGGCTAAAAAACTCTGAGGTAGCTCACACTAACTCGGCTTAGAGGGAACACTGCTTGTGAGATAGGTGGGGCTGAGAGAGCTCTTTCAAGAACTGTCCTTGAGACAACAGCTCTGAAAGAACTTATGAGTGACCCAAGACCACACCAGCAGCTGCATCTAGAGGAGTGGGGAATCAAACCTGGTTTTCCCAGATTAGAGTCCTAACCACTACACCAAACCACTACCCTACACTACACCTCTTAGGTTTAATACCATGCTTTAGGGTGTGTTCGGATAACATCTAACAAGGGGAATCTGAACATCCATGCTTCTCTGACTCCCTTATTAATGGTGATGTTGCTGTAGCATATCAATCAATTGAATGCTGGTATTTGCTGTTCATAGGGTTTCCAACCTCCAGGTGGTGACTGGAGATCTCCTGGGATTACAATGGATTTCCAGGCAGCAGAGATCGGTTCACCTGGAGAAAGTGGCTGCTTTGGAAGGTGGGCTCTATGGCGTTACATACTCTTGAAGTCCCTCCCCTCCCCAAGTTCTGGTCTCCTCAGGCTCCACCCCCAAAACCACCAGGCATTTCCCAACTTGAAGCTAGCAACCCTTGCTCCTCACCACTGACTCAAAAGAGGGGGCAAAAGAAGAAAAGCAGACTCCTGCCACCTCTTCCCCCTGCCCCAATCCGGGGCCTGGCCTGTTGGTTTCCATGGCAGTAGTGGCTCCCGCCCACCTCACAGGGCCACCTCTTGCCTGGTATCACCCTGGATTTTTGCCCCAGAATCACCAAGAACAAGAGGAAAGTGGCACAACCTCCACCTTTCTCGAGCAACCTGCAGTCAAGGGCTTTGTTTAACAAGAGGATGAGGACATTAGGAGGAAAAGGGAGGGCAGATGCAGCACTTAGCAGTATCTGAGCCATTGACAGGGGTCATTTCCTAGAAAAAGAGGTGCAGGAGCTCATTAGCATAACTCATTAGCATAACTTATTTGCATATGCCACACCCCCTGATAGCACCGGAAGTGTGTCAGAAGGCAACACCCACCGCTCAGGGTCCACTGGACTGTTTTGGATAGCTATTGGAGGGTGGAGGTGGAACATGCAGATCTGTCCTCGCAGAGGAGGGAGAGCTTGTACCTGAATAAAACTTGGTCTTAAAGCTGCCACTGGACTGTTTTAGACCGAGGGGGGGGGGAGCTCTGCAACTTACCTGGCTGCTTCTTGCTCTGACTGAGGGCTGCTGGGAGCAGGGGGGGGGGCTTGTTGCATGTGCCCGCCCCCTGGGCTCTTTACTGCCGGAGCTCCGCTCCTGTGCGCTCCTGCAGGAAATGACCCCTGGCCATTGATATGCTACAGCTGAACACACATTATCAAGAGGCTCACAGTGCTGTGAGCTTGCGTTGAGCTCAGTGTTTCTACTTAATCTCGAAGCACCGCTGGAGTGTTCAGAGTGTTTCACTGGTATTGCCTCTGCGGTGGAAAGTACCATGAAGTCGCAGCCAACTTATGGTGACCCCATAGAGTTTTCAAGGCAAGTGATGTTTCTAGTTGGTTTTCCATTGCCTGCCTCTGCGTAGCAACCCTGGACTTCCTTGGTGGTCTCCCATCCAAGTACTAACCAGGGCTGACCCTGCTTAGCTTCTGAGATGTGATAAGACTGGGCTAGCCTGGGCCATCCAGGTCAGGGCAACTTTTGTTAAGTAGATTCAGGTGGGTAGCCATGTTGGTCTGAAGCAACAGAACGAAGTTTGAGTCCAGTGGCACCTTTAAGACCAACAAAGTTTAATTCTGAGTATAAGCTTTTGTGTGCATGCACACACGAAAGCTTATACCCAGCCCTGACCTGGATAGCCCAGGCAAGCCCGATCTCATCAGATCTCGGAAGCTAAGCTGTGTTGACCCTGGCAAGTATTTGGATGGGAGACCTCCAAGGAATACCAGGGTCGGGAGGCAGAGGCAGGCTATCAAGGCACTTCTCTGAATATCCTCCATGCTGCAATTGGGTGTCACCAGAGGTCACCATGACTTCTAGGCATGGGTGCACACCAACATACAAACCCCCCCCAAAAATGCAAAAATAAAAAGAAAGCTTATACCCAGAATAAATCTTTGTTGTTCTTAAAAGTACCTCTGGACTCAAACTTTGCTCTTTTGTAAAGTAGGTTAGTGTTATTACCACAGATGGGGCCAAGGCTGCAGGCAGAAGCTTTCCTAAGGCTTCCCAAACCCCCAGGGCTTCCTTGTTCACAGTGCTGCCTCTTAGCTATGGCATGACACAAACCCAAGTTTATGGGGCCATCATTTATTCAGGGATCCTGTCTCTATGTACATCATGCAAGAAATATAACAGCTGAACAAAAGAAAAAGGGTGATCTTGAAAAACTACACCACCAGACCGTAACCCTGTCCCAGCTAGTGGAGGAACCCCTCAGAAAGAGGATGAGTCCACCTGACTTCTGACCCCTTCTCACCTGACAGGAGTCTATGCCTCCCTCTGGGACTCCAGCGCACATCATGAAGGGCGTGATGGCACCACGATATGCTCTATTGCATGTCTGTTGGGCAACAGTTTTGACATCTGCACACTGTAGGAGTTCTGGAAGCTTTGCTAGAAGAGAATAGATATAGACCAAGAGGTCAATGGTGAATGAAAAGAAGAGATTGGATTTATACCCCTCCCTTCGCTACCCAAAGAAGTCTCAGAGCGGCTTACAATCTCCTTTCCCTTCCCCACCCTGTGAGGTAGGTGGGGCTGAGAGAGCTCTTTCGAGGACTGCTCATGAGGGAACAGCTCTGAGAGAATTTATGACTGACACAAGGTCATACCAGCAGCTGCGTGCGGATGAGTGGGGAATCAAACCCGGTTCTCCCAGATTAGAGTCTGCACACTTAACCACTAGACCAAACTGGCTCAAGATGGCCAGGGCTAAGTTGCTACCTAGTGCAAGTCAGGGGGATGATTCATTTCAATTAGCGCTACTGGCTGCTGTCGATAATGCTGCTTTTTAAAAACAAGAATGTTCTTTTCTGCAACTACTTGGCTAGAGATAGTCTGCTGCTTCTCCACAAAGCCATAGAGCAGTGGTTGTTGCTAGGGCCATGGCTGCCTCAACAAGCCATAAGAAAAACTCCACTTGTTGGATTCTCGCACATTTAAAGCACAGAATACTTGCTAAAACAAAGAGTGACAATTAGGGCTACAACAGGCCTGGAGAAAAATGTCCTCTCTCTTCCATCAAGGTTTAGCATGTGGAAATGAGCACCTGGAGCTTTTTGCAGTATGGAGGTAAATAATATGACCAGGTAAATAATGTAATTAAGTGCTGTCCTGGGGTTGACAAAGCAAGAGATGAACAGAGGAGGTTAGTCATTGCTTTCCTCTGTGTAGGAACTCCTTGTCTTCCTTGGTGGTCTCCCATCCAAGTACTGACCATGGCTGATCCCGCTTAACTTCCAAGCTCTGATGAGCTCAAGTTAATGAAAATGCTACAACTCCACTGAACCTCCATTAAAGGTACAGGACCTTTTTCTCCAGCCCTGCTGGCAATCTTGTGACAATCCCATTTTCATAGCGGAGTCGCTCAGTAGTAGAGCCTCAGCCTATGCAGACATCCCAGATGAAATCCCTGCTCTCTCCAGATGAAAATAATCATCTGGAGACCTGCTGCAACTCACAGTAGCCAGTGATGAACTAGATGGACCAATGGCCTAACTCAGTATAAGGACACGTAACTCTTGCAATTAAAGACTGCAGTACTGAACCAGATGGATCAATTATCTGAATCCCCCCCCAGCTCTGCTTTTAACGTGAAGACAGACATTACCATTTTAAAGCATACAAACAAACATAAGAATCCAGCATCCTGTTTCACACAGAGGTCAGCCAGTTGCCCTGGAGTACAAACCAACAGGGCACAGAGGCCTTCCCTGGATATTAGAACTCTTTAGCTCGGAGAAACATTGGCTGAGGGGTGACATGATCAAGGTTTACAAAATTATGCCTGGGATAGAGAAGGCAGAGAAAGAAATACTTTCCCCCCTTTCTCACAATACAAGAACTCATGGGCACTCAATTAAATTGATGAGCAGTTGGGTCAGAACAGATAAAAGGAAGGACTTCTTCACCCAAAGAGTGATTAACACATGGAATTCACTGCCACAGGAAGTGGTGGCAGCTACAAGCATAGACAGCTTCAAGAGGGAATTGGATAAACATATGGAGCAGAGGCCCATCAGTGGCTATTAGCCACAAGGTATAGATGGAACACTTTGTCTGGGGCAGTGATGCTCTGTATTCTTGGTGCTTGGGAGGCCACAGTAGGAGGGCTTCTGGAGTTCTGGCCCCGCTGGTGGACCTCCTGATGGCATCTGGTTTTGGCCACTGTGTGACACAGGGTGGTGGACTGGATGGGCCAGTGGCCTGATCCAACATGGCTTTCCTTATGTTCTTATACTCTTCTCTTGGCTCTTAGCACTGGTATCCAGAAGTTTCCTGACTCTGGACATAGAGTCATCATGGCCTCTGATTAGGGTTGCCAGCCATGGTGGGGGCAGGTACTCATGTTTTGTCATTACACTGATGCCACGACATCACTTCCGGTGTGACCCATAAATTATGTCATCTCTCTGGGGCGATGCTCTAGTATTCACCCCAAACTCTATGGTTTAGCCACAGAGTTTTGGGCAGTCGCTCGAGTATTGCCAAATGCAATGACATTACTTCCACATTGCGCTGGAAACGATGCCATCGTGTTGGTCCAATACCGATGCCCCTTCCTTTGTCTGGCATTTACCCTGCAGCTGAGTAGCAGCAGGCCAAGTCAGTGAGGGGCTGGAAGTCTGCTGCTGAAGCAGGAGACCTGCTACTCTCCACCTTTGATGGACCTCCCCTCCATGAACCCCTTGAACTGCCTTTTACTGGGCCAGTTTGGAAGCACCCTGCTGCATTCCATCCAAATGTATATATTTCTTCTCTCCTAGGTAGGGTTACCAGGGCCCTGAGATTGTTCCTGTCCTTTTAACAGTTGTGCAGAATGGAAAGTTCACCCCAGGGTAGTATTGCCTCTTGTAGTGTTGAAAAGACTGGAAAATGCACCGGGAAGAATTGTCTATCCGTGTAGGATGGAACCTTTGTGGGGTTTGGACCTGGAAATTCCACCCTCATAGTGTCCACATATCTAGGCAAGTGGAGATAGTCACAGTACCTTGAGGAGATCTTGTGGTACCCCAGCCCGACACTGTGCATTGCGTGTTATCTGGAGGGCACCTGGAAGGCATGGAAATGGTCTGCACAGCATCATTGAGCTTGGCGCAGGGACGAAGCCGCATAAGCATGAAATCCTTGTTGTTGGTCTGTCTCGTGTAATTGGGATGTGGTTTAACTTCGGCGATACCTAAGCACTGCTCTGTCTTTTCTATCTTCTTCAAGTTCTGCTTTCCTAGGCACACTTTCATGCTATATGATGAAAAAAGGAACAGTGAGAAAACAGCTTAAGATCTAAACTCAAAGGGGCTGAACCAAGGAAGCCGGGCAGCTCTGTGAGGGCTAAGGATAGGGTTATCCAGAGGGGGCCTGGATTTCTCATGGAATTACGTAGATCACTTTTCTGGGAGGAAGTGGCAGCTTTGGAGGCTGGAGGCTGGACTCTATGGTATACCTAGGGGAAACAGAAGTCCTAGAATGGCATCACATTCCTAGGGTTGCCAAGTCCCATCTTCATCCCCAGCAGGGGACTTTGGGGGGTGTTCCTGGAGGGGGCGGGGTATCCCCGACGTGATGATGTCACGTTGGGGACGTCCCCCCGCCCGCCTGATCTTCCAGCGGCTCCGGCTTCCTGCACTTAAAGGGGCCCCTTTAAGTGCATGGAGCCGGCGTTTCCTGCTCGCCCAATCTTCACGGAGATCAGGCACGTACCCGGGGGGAAACGCCAGCTCCCTGCTCTTAAAGGGGCCCCTTTAAATGCAGAGAGCTGCCATTTCTCCCCCCTCCCCCCCCGCGTGCCCGATCTCCACAGAGAGGGGAGAGGGGTGGCTGCAGGTGTTGGGGCTTGGGGGCAGGGCTTCCCCCGGCGGCCAGCTGGCTGGCAGCAGGTAGAAGCCCCCAAAAAGCAGGGGTCCCCTGCCAAACTGGGGGGGTTGGCAACCCTACACATTCCTGCTGAGCTCACCCCACTCCACAAACTGCACCCTCTCCAGGCACTGCCCGCCAAATAGGGTTGCCAGGTCGACTTACATGGCCAGCTGGGGTCTCCTGACGTCCTTATGGGAGACCGGAAATGATGTTGGGCATTTTCGGGCATATTTCCAGTTTCGGGCCTACTTTTGGTCAGGGTTACACTCTGATTTCGGGGCAAAATTCTATGGTAAATTAGGCTTCAATTTACTCTATGGTAAATTTGCCTAAAAACCAGAGCATCACCCTCCCCCCCAAACTGGAAGTAGGCCCGAAACCAGAAGTAGGCCCAAAAAGGTCACTTGGGGGCAGGATTTCTCCTCTCTGGCCAGCTGGCCAGTGGCAGGCAATTCCCACCGGAGGGCTGCCAACCCTACCCCCAAATCTCCTGAGATGGAATTGGCAATCCTAGCTACGGATGAAGACAGAGACATGCCTTAAAGAATGAGCACAGCCACAGGCCTGTTTTCCAGCTGAGGATGAGCTTTATTGCCCAAGCCACCTGAGCAGTTGCTTGGGACAGCATACTGAGGAGGGCTCTGACATGTCACTGGGGCTTACACCCATCATCATCTCCTCAGTCTGTGTCACTGCCAGCCAGGTCAAAGCCATGCCCTGGTAGTAGAGGTAGCAAGAGGAGGCAACTGGCAGTGCAGTGGCTTGGGGAAGCCACAAAATACCTTGAGCTGTGGCCCTCTCTGTTCTGCCCTTCAACAGACAGAAAAACAAGGATCCGGCTCAGATTGAACAAACCAGCGGAACCAGTATCGGAGACTGTGCAATAGCCGGTGCAATCTGTTTTAAATTCTTTGTTTTAATGTTTTAATTAATTCTTTACTATTGTGTTTTTTGTGATGCCAAATGGCCTAGTTATTTGTTGTGATCTGCCCTGAGCCCATTTGCAGGGAGGGCGGAATATAAATTTGAAAAATAAATAAATAAAGGGGGAACTTTCTTTTCTTGCAGCCTGAAGTTGGAACATGCTTACTCTTTTTGAAATAGCATGGCTCGTAAGTAGGGTTGCCTGGTCTCCCCTGGCCACCATTGGGGGATGGGGGGGGTTGGGTTGCCAGATCCAGGTTGGGAAACTCCTGGAGATTTGGTGGGTGGAGCCTGGGGAGGTCAGGGACCTCAGTGGGGTACAATGCCCATAGAGTCTACCCTCCGAGGCATCCATTTTCTCCAGGGGAACTGATCTCTGTAGTCTAGAGATGAGCTGTAATTCCAGGGGATCCCCTGGTCCCACCTGGAGGCTAGCAACCCTAAGTCCCTTTGTGCAAATTTATTTCATTTAGTTATGATTGTCCAATTAATGGGGTAATTAGAGTAATTGGTTGTGTATACTTTCAACTGGTTAAAAAGTGCCTCTGATTAATCAGGATGCAGATTAAACAATTACATTCATAACTCATTAATAACTGTGTGTTAATTTTCTTTGAACACAGATACTTAATTAGGACTGTGGGCCGTAAAGGCTGTCTTGGAAGATGCATTCCCACCCATGTGAGAGAGAAGACTGAATGCTCCTTCAGCGGCGATGCCCATTGTGACACATAAGTGCACTATCCTGAACTAGAACTCTAATTTTTCGTCACATGTCCAATTAATTGACAGCGCTTTTTCAGATGGCATGACAGCTCGAAAATGTACAGGTTGGGCTTTTCGATAAAAACATGCTCAAAAGCCATTTAATGCTAAGTTTTTTTTAAAAAAATTGAAAACATCAACACTTGTAATTTAAAAACATCACCAAGACAATAAAAATCATTTAAAAAAGAATCAAAGACCAAAACCCAGGGGAGTACATCTGGATGCAAACAGATCTGCAGTTGCTGATGGAAGGAAGCCAGGGAAGGCATCTGGCAAAGTTCTCTAGGAAGGGCGCTGCCACAAAGTCTGAGGAAGCCTCCACACCCCAGCCATTCGGAAAATATTGAGCAGGGCATCACCTGAAGATCTGAGTGACGGGGGAGGAATGGAAAATGCTCTCGTGCGGAAATGAACCAGCCTGGAAATGACTGACAATGGACTGGCATTTAAGGTCACCAGGAAAAGTGGGCGGGTGGCCGGGGAGGCTTCCCCGGGGCAGGTTCTTTCTTCCTTGCTCCTTTGACAGGCAGTGTCAGGACAGTCAACTTTTCCCAGGCAACTTTCCCCCTCCCAGTCTGCCCCTGACTAACAGGATGCTAGGAGATAGATCAAGATGGGTAGCCATGTTAGTCCATCTGTAGAAGCAGGAAAGAGCAAGAGTCCAGCAGCCCTTAAAGACTTACAAAATTTGTGACAGTGCTTAATTGTTTTGAAATAGCATTCCTTGTAAGTAGAGTGGGGGTTGCCAGATCCAGGTTGGGAAACTCCTGGAGATTTGGGAATGGAGCCTGGGGGGGAGGTGGAGATTCCTAGAGCATTGTGGACAGGCGGTGACACTTTCCCTTCCCACAGCTCATCCCTGAAACAGCTCCCAAGGAGCCAAGTGCTGGCCTGGGAAATCTAGGCAGAGATCAGTAGGTTTCGCACTGCTCTTCAGAAGTGAGCAGTGACTTATGAAAGCTAGGGTTGCCAGGTTTCGGTTGGAAAATACCTGGAGGCTTTGGGGGTGGATCCGGGAGAGGAGGGGCCTCAGCATGGTACAGTGTCACAGAGTCCACCCTTCAAAGCAGCCATTTTCTCCAAGGGAGCTGATCTCTGTCAGCTAGAGATCAGTTGTAAAACCGGGAGATCCCCAGGCCCCACCTGGAGGCTGGCAACCCTACCTACTACAAATTTTATTAATCTTTAAGGTGCTACATGACTCTTTTCTACTGCTTCAAGATGCTAGGAGTTAAAGCACACAGGATGGGGGGGGGGGAAGGGAGGCAGAGAGTGCCCCTACCCTCCTCCCTGTCTGAGGTTTCAAGGGCACCACTTGGAGGAAGAGGGTTTTCTTTTTATTTATTGAAAACCATTTTTATGCTGCCTTTTCATCCAGAGTACACAAGGCAGCTGTTGAATACGAGACTCAACACAGCTTGTGAACAGTGAATCAGCTTTTATTAACAAATTCAGAAGAAGAGTGCCCCTACCCTCCTCCCTGTCTGAGGTTTCAAGGGCACCACTTGGAGGAAGAGGGTTTTCTTTTTATTTATTGAAAACCATTTTTATGCTGCCTTTTCATCCAGAGTACACAAGGCAGCTGTTGAATACGAGACTCAACACAGCTTGTGAACAGTGAATCAGCTTTTATTAACGAATTCAGAAGAAATCAAGAACGAGACAAAAACATAGAGCAGGAGGCTCTCTTTTAAACAGTCCGGGCTTAGGTAGCCATGCCCACAAGTCATATAATAACCAATCACTATTTACAGATAAGGTCCAATCAGAGTGCTTCCCTCCAGAACACTGCGCAGCTCTGATTGGTGGACTTACAATCCTGCCCAGAACTCAAGCTCACTACAGAACTTAATACATAACAGCAGTGAACATTTAAAAATAAAATATTTGAGCAATTAGAACACAAGCAAAATGATAAAATAATTCTATTAATAGCACGTGGGCAAACAACACTAGAAGGAGGGCCAGTAATTGTTATCGGGGGTATGCCAGAGGAAAAAAAAAATCTTCACGGTTACCTCCGTGCCACCAACAGAGGGAGACAGACAAATCTCTTTGGGGAGAGAATTCCAAAATTATGGTGCCACAGCTGAGAAGGCCCTTTTTCAGGGAGCTACCTGTCTGGTTTCAAGAAATCAAAGCAGGGCCCCTGAGAATGACCAGCACAAACAGGTAAGTTGCATCATAAGGGGGCATAGCTTAGGGTGCCAGACTCTCATGGCACTTATCTCTTATTGCCTTGGCTGCTACGATGGTCAGGCAAGGCTATTCTGTTCACCTCCCCTCAGTTGTGCCTTATGGAGGCCTTCACTTACCCCGGTCTCACTTTGCAGTGGGCAGCAGTGAGGACCCAGCAGGGATTCACTAAGCTCCCTCCACAATAAATGTTCCAGTTGCCTCTGCGTCCAAACACAAGGGCCGCCTGGTAGGGGCGGTTGTGTTCTCCACAAGGGTACCCACCGATGATTCGGTTACCTGGCTGGGCAAACACTGCAAGACAACAACAAAGTTAACATCATAGCAGCACTACACCTTATTTATTTATTTATTGCATTTATACCCCGCCCTCCCCGCAATGCAGGCTCAGGGCGGCTCACCTTGGGGCTCTCCCTACCGCTGAGGACCCGTCTCTGTTGAAAACATTCTAAGGTAGGGGTGGACAGAGGCAAGATGTTGCTTAGGATCAACAGTGCAAAGCGGACCTCAGGGTCTAATTTCAATTTTATACAACCTACTAAATGCCAAAGAGTGGAACCAAATCACTAGAGTGCAAGGGAAATGGGAGAGGGATTGTATAAGTATTTCTGAGTCTACTCACTGGGAAGCAATTTGGAACTCGGCAGCATTCAACACCAACAATGTCTTGGTACGACTTCAAACTTCTAAAATTTATTCTAGGTGGTATTTGACACCGGATCGTTTATACAAATGTAAATTTAAAACAACTCCATTTTGTTGGAAGGGATGCAATTTAAAGGGAGACTTTAAACATTGTTGGTGGTCTTGCAGAAAAGTAAACAAATTTGGGAACAAAATTTTAAGTGAAATCTACAAAATTACATCTATTAATCTTAGTCATTCATTTGAATCGCTGATGTTAAACTACTGGCCTACCATGAATTTAACTAAGCAACAAAGTGAAGTGCTAATATTAATGCTTTTTGCTGCTAAATCTCTTCTGGCTCAAAAATGGAATACACGCAGGGTTCCAGATGTTTCTCAATGGTATGTAAAATTGTGGGACGTAATAACGGCAGATAAAATTTCTATTCAATTGAAAGTAGCCCAGGGTATGACGAAAAATAACAACTTTATTGAAAAATGGTTCACGTTTTTTGCCTATGTAACTTTGCATAGACATCTGAATTATATATTGCCACAGAATTATGACAAAATAATGGTATATTAATTTCTTATAATTGTTGTGTATTCAAATAATGTAAGTTCTAGCCTTGTTGTTTGTTGACTTGTTATAGGTTTTGATTGTTATATTCAAATAAGGAAAATAAAAAATATTTTGGGGGGAAAAAAACAGTGCAAAGCGATGCCCTCGCAGTACCAAGCATACAGCGACTACTACCACCCATTGTCATGGTCGTACCTAACCCATCATGACATAATTTTTTAATTTGATGCTTCTGTGTTGGAGTATATACAAGTTCTCTCCCTGATGTCATGAAAGAGTTAACTGTTTGTTTATATATCAGCCTTGTTGCACATAGTTCCCACCAAGGAACTTAAGGAAGAGGATGTGCTATTCCAAATTAGATGTGTTGCAAAATGATTATTGGTTAGTCAATGTGTTGGTGAAATGGAGTTTAGGCGCTTCTTTTCCTGCCTTTGTTCTAAGACCAGAGAACGAGTATCCATCTTGAAGTAACTAGAAACCAGCTAAGATGTAGGTTAGACAGAATGTTTTTCTTGCTTTTATATCCAAATGTTTCCTTTCCCTCTTTTATAGTAAAGATTTTATAAAAGCTAAACACACAAGCCTGCGCCTTCTTGTTACTCTGCTTCAGAATCTCAGCATTCTGGGAGTCCCAGGGCTAGCCTTCAGCAGACAAATTAGGCAGAGATAGGTTTGGCAGGTACCTGCCCCAAAGTGACATTATTCCCCCTCCCCGCCCACAACACTCTAGGAATTGACCAAATCTCTATGGTATTTCCCATTGAACTGGGGGGATTCCTAGAGCATTGTGGACAGCTAATGACACTTTTCCTTTCCAGGGCTCACCCCCGAACAGCTCCCAAGGAGCCAGGTGCAGGCCTGGCAACCCTAGGCGGAGATCAATGAGTTTCCCAAGTTGGATACCAGAATAATTCTAGCTCCGTTTTCAGTCCTAACCTACACATCCAAGGTCCTCCTTGATTCTCAAAGCCATCTCTCAGTGGTGGTAGGCAGGTAGTAGAGGTACCTCCTCCCAAGGAAGGACACCTCCCATGTTTTTTGGGGGGCACACTGCTAATTTAAGCAGTAACCTTCTACCAGGGATTAGTGACCTTTTCTACTTAAAGAGCTAAACTGTGTCAAATTTCAGTGCAAGAGATCAGTACAAGAGCCAGTACAAGAAAGCCCACTTGCACAACTGAAACACATCCATACCTTCACTGTGAAGGGATCCTGTATATGAACCCTTGCTTGGGACATGTAAAGCATGGATTCTAGCAGGTGACTACAGATGAGACAGTCTTCTCCTTAGCTATGGCATGGCTTTGGGATCTCCCCCCAAGGCAATTTGTGTCACCCCATCCCTGCTGGCACCCCTCCACATGCTAAAAAAAGTCCTTTTTATAAGAGGCTTTGATGGCTTGAGCTGCGGTGGCTCAAGTGGTTAAGACACTGAACTGCAGGCTGTGGAAGGTCGGTAGTTCAGCAGTTCGAGACCCGGGTGCCGCATGACGGAGTGAGCTCCCGTCTCTAGTTCCAGCTCCTGCCAACCTAGCAGTTCGAAAGCAAGAAATTGCAAGTAGATAAATAGGTACCACTTCGGTGGGAAGGTAACAGCGTTCCGTGCACCTTGGTGTTTAGTCATGCTGGCCACATGACCACGGAAACGTCTTCGGACAGCGCTGGCTCTTCGGCTTTGAAACGGAGATGAGCACCGCAACCCTAGAGTCGGACTTGACTGACTTTTGAGCAAGGGAACCTTTACCTTTACCTTTGATGGCTATGCTACGACTAGTGGTTAGGTTGGTTTCCTGTCTTTTAATTAGGTTTTTAAAAATTGTATTAACTTATTTCTAACCTGTCCTTCCAACCATAGAACAGACCCCTAGGATAGGACACATTCAAAATCATAAACATTACTATTTCAGATAAATGGGTGGACCCAGGCGGGGTTTCTGTTGATGAAAAAAGAGGATGGGGGGCACCACGAAAAGGCAATGCTATGGAATCATTGGACCTGCACGTACAAAAGCTATGTGGGATGGGGTTGTTAAGTAATAGGAGGAAATGGGTGGGATGTGATGAAAAGGAGGATCGGGGTCACCACAAAAAAGGCAATGCTATGGAATCATTGGACCTGCATGTACAAAAACTATGTGAGATTAGTGTTGTTAAGTAATAGGAGGAAATGGGGAAGACTTGGTAAAAAGAGCTGGCTGGATCTAACCCAAAATATCATAATGCCAGTGTGATAAGAACAAAAGCATTAAAACCAACATTGCATTCAATTCATTATCCATGCTAAGCAGTCAACCAGCTCATCAGCCGTTAGATGCTGTCCCTTATCAGAGATGCTAGTTTTTAATTATGACAGGTTTTTTTGTAAGTGTTGTTAAGAAGCCAAGATCAAGGCGCTGCTTTGCTGGCTGAATGTTGTGATTTGTTTCTTTGCAACTTGGTGTAACCCTGTCCGAGGATCCTTTCTTCAGAGGGAATGGCAGGGCAGGACTTTAGTGTGTTAAGTAAATAAGGAGGGAAAGCGTCAAACAGCTGACTGTTGACAGAACTTTGGAATGAAACAGTTCTTGCCTTACCTGCCGAGCTCACCAGAAGAAGCCCAAAGGCGAACAGCTTCATCGTCGCACTGATGGATCAACGAGAGCCCAAGTCTTGCCGTGGAATTGGCTGCAGGGCAGAAGATTTGCCGGGCACCGTTCTAGGATATCCGCAGTAGTCAGCGACTGATACCAGTTCAGTCTCCGTCCTCATGCACACGCCCCACTGATGATGCTGAATATTGCCACTGGAATTTATTTATGTAAACAATTCTTTCGTCGGCGTACGCTGCGGTTAATTCCTATGCTGAAGGAAGAGGAATTATTAACCACTGAAGCAAGCACTTCCTGTTTAGGTAAGGAGAAGGTTTGGAGAAATGAGTGGGTGGGGACCTGGGGAGAGGGGTTAAGATATGATAAAGAAGTGAGGAGTAGGGAAGTAGTTAAGCCGCTAAAGTCAATCCAAATTAGACCATGCAGATCCTCGTTCAGCTTCCTGCTCATTTATGATGCGCACTGGAGAACAGTTCCTGGGTTCAGTCCCTGGCATCTCCAGTTAGAAGGATCAGGGAATGGGTGATGTGAAAGACCTCAACTTGAGACCCTGGAAAGATGCAGCCCATCAGTCCAGGCAATACTGAGCTTGATAGATCAATGGTCTCAGTCGATATACAGCCACATCACCTGTGTTCTTGTTAAGGAGAGGGGCAGTAGCTCAGTGGTAGGGCATCTGCTTGGCATGCAGAAGGTTCCAGGTTCAATCCCTGGTGTCATCAATTAAAAGATGTGAAAGACCTTCACTGTAGCCCCCGGAGAGACACCTTCAGTCAGAATACACAAGACCCCTACCTGAGACCTTGAAGAGCATCTGTCAGTCAGAGTGGGCAACATCTTGATAGACTGTGTGTTCATGGAGGTCCCTTGGGCCAATATCAACCTAGCGGGGCCTGGGGGGGCCAGCAGGGCCATCTGTCCTGGGCCTCACATTCCCGGGGGTGGTGGTGGTTCAAATTTATACTTTTGATGTTAAATAACATGTTAAATAAAAATGGGAACATTTATTACAAAGACTTAAAATATTATTTTTCTTATTGTATTAAATGTAAACATTTAAAATATAATACTACTAATTTTGTATCACCGTTTTCGCACATCTTCATTTTTTAATTTATTGGGGAGGCCCCCTCAAAAATGGGAGTGGCCCAGGCCTCTCTTGACCTCTGTGAGGGCCTGCTCACAGGGCTGTTGTGAGAATAAAATTTGGGATGGGGAGGTTTTGGACGTTGTGGAGGAAAGGTGAGACTAAAACGTAGTCTTATGATGACAGCTCTAATACTTGTTGATGACACGGATGTCCCGATTTTCCTCTGTCACAGAGCTCAAGGAGGTATATGTGGGGTCCCCAACAATCCCCCAGCTAGCCAGCATCCAGACTCAGATCTGCTTAGCATCCCCAAAAGTTGCCGTGTCATATGCTTTTAGACTGCAATAGCAAAGCACTCCCTCCATCCCATGCCATTTCGCTGCCCTAAATGTCCCTACATTCTCTGTCCTAAATTTAAAAAGTCATTAGTGTATAATAGTTAGCTCCTAAATACTGGGGGAAATATGAAAATAGTCCAACCCCACACTTTATAAGAATACCAGAGGTAGGGCTGCCAAGTCCCCCCGGGGGGCGGGGAAACCCCCACCCCAGAGGCCCGTTCCCCGGCGGCGCCAGATCGGGCCCCAGGGGGAACTCCGCCCCGACCTGCACGTTACCCGGAAGTGACGCAGGCACGCCGGGCACACTGGGGGGCGGGGCCATGGCCATATAAGGGAAAACTCTATGGTTTTCCCTTGTATGGCCGTGGCCCCGCCCACAGCGTGCCTGGTGTCCTCCCGTCACTTCCGGGATCACAGGAGATCATCCTTGACAGATCAGGACAAAGTCCATCTAGTCCAACATCCTGTTTCCAACACTGGCCAGCCAAAGGTAACTTTGGAAGGCATGTTGTTGGTTCCTGGATCACAGATATACTGCCTCTGAACAGATATACTGCCTCTGAACAAGGAAGTTCCACCTGGCTTTCCTGTTTCCATCAGCTCTTGCATCTCTGCCTGAATGGTCCCTTTCCCCACCCAAAGCAAACTATCCAACTCTCTCACAAACTCTGGGGGCTTACTTACATTCCTTTGCTTTGCCATCCTTCAGCAACAGAAGGGGAAAACAGCTCTTTCTCATATACCCCAAACTAGATGCTAGAGAGGTCACAAAAAGACGGAAACACATCCACACATCTGTAGGCTGAGAAGCGGACTGACTCAGAAGGTGTTTCTACAGTGAGTACTTAAAACAATTCTGATTCAGGAGGAAGGGCCGGGTACTGCTAAATATTGTGACATAAGAGTAAATATACAGTTCTCTGGCAGCCCGGGAAACAATAAGGATCCTTTTAGCTCTTTCGTCCCTGGAACATGAACCCATGTGTGTATGAATCTGCTTCCTCCTGAGTCAGACACCTGGTCTGTCAAGGTCAGTATCGACTACTCTGGCTGGCAGCTGCTTTTCAAGTAGTTGCAGGATTATGTGTATTTCCCTCCCCCCCCCCACCCCCGGGTCAGGGTTCTACATTTTATATTTTAAATTTTTTTTACTTCATTTATATCCCACCTTCCCCCCCCCCAATGGGGACTCCAAATGGCCTGCATCTTTCTCCTCTCCTCCATTTTATCTTCACGACAACTCTGTGAGGTAAGCTAGGCTGAGAGTGTGTGACTGGCCCTAGGTCACCCAGAGAGCTTGTATCGCAGAGCGAGGGTTGAAACGAGGGTCTCTCTGATCCTAGCCACTACAGCATCGTATATGCGGGTGTATTTGAAAGGGGAAAGGTATTCCAGTCACAGCATCTCCACACTAAGAAATGCTTCATCTGTTGAATTTCTGCCTGTTTCAGAAGCGCCAGCAGGGGCATGAAAATGATGGCAGTAACCAAAGGCTGGGAAACTGCAGTGTGCAGGGAGCCAATTCTAGACAATAAAGAGGGATTTGTTTATTACATGCTACCATCTAACAATATTGAAATTATTGAGGGGGTGGAAGAAGATGAAATGTTGGTCTTCCATTTCTATATTTTGGAATGCAATATTTTCTGTTCAGTGACGTTTAAGTTATAAATGAGCCTTCCTATTTACAGGTTGTTTCTGTGAATGCTAAGATTTCGGTAGCAAGGCCCAATTGCTCCGAAATTCTGAAAATTCGGATATTCCTGTAGAATGTTTACATTTTTGAAATTCAAGTTTCTTCTATAGTACAGAGATCCTTGAACATTTCATTGTACTTTACTGTGACAAAATCTGAATAGAACAGGTAAGAGGAAATCCTCAGATATCAAGGATTAATGTAGATTTCAAAATCTAAATTTTTATAATCCCCCAAGAGATAAATTTATACAAAGCTTTGCTAGTACTTCAGCATGAAACTATTCTAAATCTTGGACACACATGGCTGCAGTCCTAAAGACACCTTCCTGATAGAAAGCCACATTGAATAACACTGGCCTTACTTCTGAGTAGACTTCCCTGTATCCCATTCCTTCACCTATTTGCAAGATTGCCAAGAAGGGGAATGATGGCAGCACAGTTCTGAGAGTCTTTCAGTGCCATCCTAAACAGAGTGACATCCTGCTAAGTCCATTGAAGTCAATGGGCTTAGTAGGGTGTAACTCTGCATAGGATTGCGCTGTCAGTCACCCACTGGTCCTAGGAAGCCAGAAGTCAGTTGATTTCTTTTTAGATGATGTTTGAATTGAATCTAGGAAGGGGGAGAATGATCATTCTAGCTGCCCCCCTAGTTCATGATATCCCCTACCCCCCGTAATCCAACTACCTACTCTCCAGGGATATTTTACAACAGTTTGTCAATGAACTTACTATCTTCCCTCGTCATTTCCCAAGAACAGCCCTGTTATGAACCAAGAACGCCCTGTAGTCTCCCCCAGGTATAGAACAAGAATGATGATGACAATGAACACCAACAATAATAGCTCAACTCTTACCCCAAACCAGACATAACACCAAGAGTGAACCAGGTTCACCTTTCACTCACCTGCAGTCCCTGATGGAGAAGCCCAAGATGGAAGGTGCCTGGATGTTGTTGTCTTAAGCACAGCTGAGTAACTGGTACAGTTGTTACCATTTAAATGCCAGGAGAGTAGGATGGCCTTGACCCATTCCCTTGATGCCTCACAGCTTGGAGCCGTGACTCAAAGCAGTGGCTCTATCTTCTGATCTCTGCTCCAACAAGGAACCCACGTTAAGGTGTTTAACCTCCAGGTGGATCCGCCCCTCCGCCTCTTCACCTTTATTCCTCTCACAGTCTTGCCAGTGGGCATTTCCACGCAGGTTTGCCCCAGGGCATCATGAGGCCTTGAAGGCATGCCTAAGAGAAGGGAAACTCTGTTGTAAGAAGCTAGGCATTCTGGGGGGTGGGGGGTGGGGATGGCGCTGAGGGAACCACCCGCAAATCAGCACCCATAAAAGGGAAACCTGAAATGTGAGCTCTTCAGCTGCTAAGGAGGATCCAAATCCCTCATGTCTCTGTCAGATAGATAATCCACCCTGGCTGGAAGTCTTTATACACACATCCATGTTTCATTTCATCTCAAAATGTAACTGTGCAGTAGACAACAGTTGCTGATTTTTGAACCCTTATAGATGTCCCCTTCCTGAAGAAGAAGAAGAGATTGGATTTATACCCTGCCCTTTACTACCCAAAGGAGTCTCAGAGCAACTTACAATCTCATTTTCCTTCCCCTTCCCACAACAGACTCGCTGTGAGGTAGGTGGGGCTGAGAGACCTCTTTCAAGAACTGCTCCTGAAAGAACTGCTCCTGAAAGAACTTGTAACTGACCCAAGGTCACACCAGCAGCTGCATGTGGAGGAGTGGGGAATCAAACCTGGTTCTCCTAACCAGTACATCAAACTGGCTCTGGCCAGGATCGCTTAGGCTAGCCAGATCTCGTCAAATCACAGAAGCTAAGTAGGGCCGGGCCTGGTTAGTATTTAGAGGATGGGACATCACCAAGAAAGTCCAGGGTCACTACACCAAGGCAGGAAACGGCAAACCACCTCTGGATGTCTCTTGGCTTGAAAACACTTCAGGGCCACCATAAGTCGGCTGTGACTTGATGGCAAAAAAAGAAAAGAAAGATGTCTCCTGAACAGCAGCTAGTGGTGCTGTCCAAAGTATCGGTGCTGATACCGTTCTCTCCAATCCCCTTGGTTTTCTGTCGCTCTGTTGCAATGATGGTACCTTGACCACTCCCCCACAAAAAAACCTCAGGCGGTTCACTGAGACAATGCAAAGGAAGGTACACAAGACAAAAGAGAAGAATCATTCCAGCAACATCTTTATCATCAGCCTCTGTAGAATGTTCCCTCTAAGCTGTGGAGCCTTGTGAGCAAAAATTCTACTTTGTGAGTTACCGGCATGAAAGTTGTGAGCGGGTGATTTGGCTACTGCATCAATTAGTTTGCTCTGGAGCCATCCTTCCTGAGCAAAGGCAAACATGTGTGAGCCAGAGGCTAAAAAACTGTGAGCTAACTCACACTAACTCAGCTTAGAGGGAACACTGGTTGGGGCATCAACTGGAATGATGGTTGGGTTGATAAGCTTTCCACGAAGCCTGGTTGATATTATTCAGTCAGGCATGGCATTACGGCACAAGAAAAGAATCCTGACAGGAAACATTTGTTTCTCTCCCCCCACCCCGCTTTAACAGACTTGAAGGGATTTGTGCTTGGAAAGAACGGGGCTGTTCGTAATTTGTACAGGAATGGAGGATAACGTCATGTGGCAGCGGGGAAAGTGCGTGAGTCGGGTAGCTGAAATGGGGGAAATCCTTCATGTGGAAGCAGCCCAGGGGTCACGTGGAACTCCATGGCCAGAGGAATTTCCACCTGTTGATTTCGGCAGCTCAGACCTTTGTGAAAGGGTCAGACCTGGCTGGTCCACATCAGGCCTGGTGGGGGCATCAGCCTTTGTGGGGGGCATCAGCCTTGGTGGTCATCTGCTTCGTCCCCATGGGTGGAGGCGTCGCCACTGCCTTCTCCCCTCCTTCTCATCCTAGCAGACCTGACAGGCAGGCCCTGTTGCGCATGTGCAGCTGACCATCCTCTTTTGAAAGATGGTTGGGGAACAAAGAGGGAAGGAGCATGTGGTTTTGCTTGGGACAAGAAAGGGAGGAATGAGAGATGGCGTGGAGGCAGGAGTGGTGAGCAGTGACTTCAGGTGGCAGCCACTGTCTAACTAGTATTTGTTGAACACATGAAGCTGCCTTATACTGAATCAGATTATTGGGTCCGTCAAGGTCAGTATTGTCTACTCAGACTGACAGCGACTCTCCATGGTCTCTGGTAGAGGTCTTTCATATTACCTACTGCCAGACCCTTTAACCAGAGGTGCCGGGTATTGAACCTGGGACCTCCTGCATGCCAAGCAGATGCCCTGCCATGGCTCCTCCCATCCTCCCCAACTGTTTCTGTCCAGTTCGTCACCCTACTGCAAAAGAATTTTTGTTCGGCAACTTGGGTCATTTTATCAGATCGGGGAAGAGTAGGGATCCCAAACAAACAAAGACCCTCAGAACCTCTATAAATGGCAATCTGAGAGAAGCCACACTAGTTACAGTATTTAAAATACCCTGTTGAGTCTGGTAGATATGCCCTCAAGGATTTTTCCTTCAGTCATCAGGGCCACTGTACCCTGGAGGTTCTAATTTCCTGCTACATCAGGATATAGTGAAGTAATTGTGCATATTCTGATGGCACACAATGGTTTGGGCTACTCAGCAAAAGCTGCAAGCCCAAGGCCAGCCTAGTTTCAATACTGTACTAGCCATGAGTTTGCATTGTGGAATGGCATGGCTCCTTGGCACAGGCTGGCAGAGATGATTCACCATCTTGGTAAAGGTAAAGGTTCCCTTGCTCGAAAGCCAGTCGAATCTGACTCTAGGGTTGCGGTGCTCATCTCCATTTCAAAGCCGAAGAGCCAGCGCTGTCCGAAGACGTTTCCGTGGTCATGTGGACAGCATGACTAGACGCCGAGGCGCACAGAACGCTGTTACCTTCCCCCCGAAGTGGTACCTATTTATCTACTTGCAATTTCTTGCTTTCGATCTGCTAGGTTGGCAGGAGCTGGGGCCAGAGACGGGAGCTCCGTCATGCAGCACCCGAGTCTCGAACTGCTGAACTACTGACCTTCCACAGCCTGCAGTTCAGTGTCTTAACCACTTGAGTCACCGCAGCTCCATCTTGAGACCCTATCAAAAATAGCTCTCTGTCTCCATCTCTGCTGCCTGTTTCACTGTGGGGTTGAAAGCCAGTTTTATTGGTAGCTCTTGAAGCACAGGTGATAAATGTTCTTGCACTAACACACAAGGTGCAATCAGACGACATGCTCACCATGCTCTGATTGGGTCTCTAATTTGATCTGTTCTTGCCCCATTCCATAGAGGAATGTCCAGACATCCTCCATTACCTTCCTCAATATATGGTCACCCCATTGAGGAATGTCCAGTCATTTGCAGCGTGCCAACCTCAGAGCGCGCCATCCACTGGCAGGTTTATTTTCTCCTTGTCCATTGCACATGTGCATAAACATGGACATGAATCGCCAGGGTTTTTTTTTAAAAAAACCATTCATGCTGAAGAAAGACTGCCACATGACCCAGGTTCTAGCTGAGGAACATGGCCTCGATAGGGAAGCCTGGCTAGGGACTATTTTCCAAGCTGTCCCACCAACACAAACCACAAAATGTGTAGTTTTCTTTGCAGTTTTCCTTTGCAACCCCCTCCACACTCCCCAACCCCCCCCCAAAGGCGTAGGAGTACACAGGCGTACATAAACATTTTGATGGTGTTTATGTGGTTATGTACATATCGCTAAGGGATGAAAAATGGTGCTGCAATAGAAGGGGCTTGATTGCGCCGCCATGGAAGGGGCTTGATTGTGCAGTGGAACGATCAGACATCAGGAAAGACGTTCTAGATCCTTTTGCTGCAGACTTTTCCTGGTGTCGAGGAATTTGTTCTGGAAGAGGAGTGAGTGCAGGAGGCTGACGACTGGCGAACAGGCAACAGATGTTGCTGTCTGATTGTGCATTTCAAATCTGTCAGGGAAACGCAACGAGAATGGATCTAACAGCTCGTCTGATCACACCCAGAATGGGGAATTTCTGTCTCAAGGGCCGGATTAACCTCTGTGTTAAAAACAACATGGCCCTAGCTGATCTATAGTCCCTGCTATAGTTGCAGCTGACTTATAGCAACCTCATAGAGTTTTGCCATTGCCTGACTCTGCATAGCACCCCTAGGATTACTTGGTGGTCTCCCATCCAAATACTGACCAGGGTCAAACCTGCTTAGTTTTTAAAATATGATGAGATCAGGCTAGCCTGGGCTATCCAGTTCAGGGCCTAGTTATCTTTGGATCTCGTTATATAGAAACTATGCCTGTTCAGCCCACCAAGTAAATTTCCTTTAGAACTCCCAAATGGGTAACCGGTCCATGATGAGTAACTGGATGACCGTCCTAGATGTCCAGGCTCAGCGGAAAATAGGTCCAACGTCTACCACTATTTGTCCCTCTGCATGCCTGCAGACATGATCAATAATGAATAAATAAATAAATAAAAATAAAAAATAAAATAAATGAAGCTGCCTTAAGCTGTGTCAGATCTTTTCAGTGGTAACCCCACATCTATGGAAGAACTTCCTTAGGGACATGCACCTAGCCCCCTCACTCTCAGTCTTTAGAAGGCAGTTGAAGATAGCTTTATTTAGGACTGCATTTGATTCATTTGGTAGCAGTCTTACATTGTGGCTTTTCAATTCTGGTTTGTATGACTGTTATTTCAAGCCACCCTGAGCTCTAGAAGGTGAAAAATTGGCTAATAAATGTTCTAAATAAATCAATATCAAAGTCAACAATGTCTACTCTAACTGGAAGTCTGACTAGAGGACTCTCCCAGCACCTCTTCCTGTTCCATTTAACCCGAAGGTTGAACTTGGGACCTTCCGCATGCCAAGCAGATGCTCAGCCTCTGAGCCGGAGCTCCTCCCCATAGCATGAGACTGTTCTGTCCAACACAGCACATGTGGCACCAATCCAGCCAATCACAAAACGTTTTGTCTATCATTGTTGAAACTGGAACAGTAACAGTGTATACAGATAATAACAATAGTTGTAGTCTGGGGGAGGTGCTGAGTTATGGTTGACACAACCAATGGCCTACACAAAGTCCTACGCGTTGATGTC